CTTGGTGGTCCTTTCCTTTCGATGACCTTATCAACTAACTTCAACTCTAGTTCTTGAAAGTGTATGGCCCTACAAACCATACAAATGTAATTGAACACGTTACGAATGAAAACGATCGGAGAAATACCTGACAGAAATACATCTCTATGAGTAAACAGGGTAGAGATAGCCGCCATTAAAATTAGCACGTTTCGTAGATTTATTTTTTACTATGGACGGCCTTGATACAAGGTGATTGGAAAAAAGTAACACGATTTTATAACAAATGTGCACGATTACAATGAGTACTCGGACTAAGATTGAATGCCTCATTTCCAGTAAAAAAGGTCTCTGGTTTTCTACACTAGCCATATGTAACAGCAGCAATAAGATGCTATTTTCCTTCCCCTTTTATGCAACAACAAAAATATAGCTGCATCGTGGCTCTACCACCCGTAAAATTAACTAAGGGCGGATTCGACCAAATACCATGTTACTCCAAAGTAACTAACCCTCGAATAATTTTACTCTTTGGTCTTACTCTCAGATAACTTCGTTTGCGTTTTTTTTTTTTTTGGAGTTTATGGCCTGGTATCTAGACCTTTAGGCCAAGTCTTAAGTATTTTTATTCGGTTTATTGTAATTTCCCCACTCCTTCATAGTATACTGCTTCACAATATGTTGATGCGTCACATTGTGCAGTTCTTGGGAGATTTTGGCGGCAACTTGATCCAGCAGACAGCTGATAGTTGGCGATGGTATCTAAAGGTGCCTATGCAAATAAACAGCTTATCTTGAGAATCCATCACCATCAGAGCACTTGTTTCACTGTTTCCACTAATAGTTCACATGCGTAGACACTTAATACACAAAATCGCAACACTTTTACATATCAAAGTCCACTTCAAACCATTATTTAAACAATAATACAGGAGCAGCAAACCGCCGCCGGTCAATTTCCAGCCAAAACTCCCTTCGTTTGCGTTTTTCCAACACAAACATAGAGTAGTTAATACTGAGTATTGTTACTCTAGAGTTAGTAAATGAAAAATGAATGAACACATAAGCCAACTAAAATCGAAATACAATTCTTTATATAGCGCAATGCAAGATTTTTGGTCCACTTAGTTTTGCCGGATTATATTACTGACAACTGTCACTGAATACTAGAATATTAATTAACACGAGTCGAGTTGTTAGTTGATTATTGTTCTAATCTTATTCTTATCTTCTATATTTCGTAAATGTTGCATTATTTCAAAAAATAATCCCCACGATTATCACTTAAATACGAGAAATTATAAATGTACAACGATAAAATATCCTACTTTTTCAACAAAGCATATGACAACATGAAAACATGCTGTTAAAATGTAGCGGCCGCCATTAAAATACTCTGGGATAACTGGTTTACTCCATGAATTTTGACGATATAACAATTTACTCTCGGATGGACAGTTATACCTGGGTTAGGATTTGGTAAAACGAAAGTTCTCTAACTCGAGAGTAATTAGTGATTTTATTCTTAGGATAAGAGTTATACTATGTTTGGTCGATTCCGCCCTAAGTAACTCAAAATATTACAAATTTAAAATATGTTAAAAATAAACGCGACAACATCAATAAAAAAATAGTTTCTTTTTTATCTTATCTATATTTTTAATTAATAGCATATATTGTAATAAGTGCGTTGAATTTTGTTGTCTAATCAGCAACTATATCTATCACGAATAACAATGCTAAAACGTCGATTAGGGTAGATTCCATATCAATGAAGTGCGACTCTGCGGCATTTTACTACGTTTTTGTCTCACTTTATGCCGATATTTTTAACAGTACCATACCAAAAAAAACCGGCCAAGTGCGAGTCAGACACGCGCATAGATGGTTCCGAAGAAATCCATGGCTTAGCTTTCCATTGACGTCCGTCAAGTTGGGTATTGATATGCATTTTTACAGAAAAGTTACACTATTATAAGCACACACACAAAGTTTCAACACGCGGACACGCGTAATTTTTGAGAAAAGAGTTATTGAAAATCAATTATTCTTGCAATGTTTATGTCTAATCCTACCGTAAAACTGGCGCCATTTTGTAATGTCAATGTCGACGTCAATAGGGATGTCGATTCTTTCTGAAAAAGCTCGATTTTTAAATCGATTCAAATCGTAAGCTGATGTATCGGTTCACAAAAAATCGATTTCTAAAATATCTATATTTTTTTTATGTTTCTATTGATAATGTAAATATAAACCCATTTTACGAAACACAAGAAAGATACCATGATAAATGATCTCTTATTGAATTTTTTTTTTATTTAACAGTACCTATTAGGGCAGATAACAAATAAAATAGGTTAGGTTCAACTTATGTCAAAAAACCGAATTGATTGACCCCGACTCCACCTGGTACGAGTCTGTCCTACCCCTAGAGTGGTTTTATAGAGCCGGATGTGCGTAGTGGGAGCAGCCTCCGCCTGCTGTAACAAATCGTAGGCATAGGACGAGCCGGAGCGGCTAAGGCTGGTCGCCAAAGGCGACCAACAAGCCGAAGCTGCGGAGGTGAGGAGGGATGCCTGCGATTTGTTACGCTAAGGCGTAGAGGCTGCCCTTCCCGCAGCACCGGAGATGTAGCAGTCTCAAAATAGATACAGAAATTCTTCTTAATCAGTCCCCTTATTTTTTTATGACGAAGGGAATTTTTTTCTCATAAAATGGATTTATATTTACATTATAAATGATGATGAAACATGAAAAAATATAGATATTTTAGAAATCGATTTTTTGGGAATCGATACATCAGCTTACAATTCGAATCTATTTAAAAACTCGATCTTTTTCGGAAAGAATCGACATCCCTACTGACAATAATAATAAAAAATGGCGTCAATTTCATAGTAAATAGGAATTGACATAAATATTGCAAAAATATTTGATTTTCAATACTTTTCTCTCAAAAAGTACATGTTTCCGCATATTGAAACTTTGTGTGTGTGCTTATAAAAATGTAATCTTTCTGTAATAATACGTATCAACACCAAACTCGACGGACGTCAATCGAAAGTCGTACCAAATCCGTTGGTATATAAGTTTAAAATTGTTAAAAATATTTTTATTATATGATGTAACTAAAAATTTCTGCTTCTCGCAATTTTTCCTTTATCTGTGCTATAATACGTTGCTTCATACCAAATTTTTAGATTCTGAGTTCACGGGAAGTACCCTGTAGGTTTTGATTCCCTTGCAAATGTCGAAAATTTGCGGCATAAACGGCTGTATCTTTTGATTGCGTTGGCTTAAAAGTTTGATTTTTTCACAGCTCCAAGGGACAGTAGACTTGAGTATTTGATATGATACCTTCACGTGTTCCTGAGAAAAAGGGTCTTGACAGACAGACAGACGGACAACAAAGTGATCCTATAAGGGTTCCGTTTTTTCCTTTTGAGGTACGTAACCCTAAAAATGGAGTATGTTCCTTTGCTGTTTTTTTATTTATTTATTCAATATTATCAAAAAATTATTACTAAATTCTAAGAATTTTTACTAAATTCTAAAATTTACTTTAATCACTTTAATTACCTTGATTATTAACGTACATTGCTTTTAATTTTTTTTTTTTTTGGTTCCTCAGTGTTGCACATTATGCTTAAAATATAGAATATTAGAGGTTAGAGCACAAATTCCACCTGATTTTAAGTGGATGCTGTAGACCTTGGACATCTACATCTATCCACAATTATAAATCAAAATGCAAATGTGTTGTCAGCCCTGATGACTAAGGTGAAATTCCTGGTTTCCCGTAGGAGGGATCTCCGGTTCTCTCCACTCACCATACGAAACACAGCAATATTAAGCTTTTATTTTATCCTGGTATTCTGTGAGAGCGTCGTCCTTCAGGGTTGAGCCGGCCCATTCGTGTTCTAACTATAATATAGCTGCAGCATGGCTCTAACATATATATGTTGGTATATACCAACGTTACGTACTTAACAGTTTTGTAATAACGGTAAGTAATTTACTGATAACTGAGCTTTACTATTATTTCAAATAATTGCGGTACCATCGAAAATTCTTGTTTACAAGCCCATGATACAGGATCAATTTTTAGGGTTCTGTAGCCAAATGGAAAAAACGGAACCCTTATGGATTCGTCATGTCTATCTATCTGTCTGTCCGTCCGTATGTCACAGCCACTTTTTTCCGAAACTATAAGAACATGCTGTTGAAACTTTGTATGTAGATGTATTCTGTGAACCGCATTAAGATTTTCACACAAAAATAGAAAAAAAACAATAAATTTTGGGGGTTCCCCATACTTAGAACAGAAACTCAAAAATTTTTTCATCCAAACCATACGTGTAGGTTATCTACGGATAGGTGTTCAAGGTACATATTAATGTTTTTAATATCATTTTTCTGCCGACTTCCAAAAAGGAGACGGTAAAAAGAAAGAAAGGACTTTTTATATGAAAGCTGATAGTTCTCGTGTGGTCTCATATGAATTTGATCAAGGTCAGACCAATGGTTATTGAGTTATTCTTAAATACTACTTATATTGAAGTCGCTTATATTGAAGTCGGCTGCACAAAATTTTTTATTTTAAATTATGTGTTATTTCTAAACTGAATAGTTTGCGCGAAAGACACTTCCACAGTTGTAAAATGTGTGCCTCCCGCCCCCGCCCCCCTCAGTAACTTCTAAAATAAGAGAATGATAAAACTAAAAAAAAATATATGATGTACTTTACCATGTAAACTTTCACCAAAAATTGTTTTCAACTAGATCTAGTAAGTAGTTTTTTTTTAATACGTCATAAATCTTAAACCGCAATTTACGTTTCATTCAATCAACTCAAATATAAAAATAAAATAAAATACACAATTATTAAAACATATTATGTTACTTGCTGCTACGGAACCCTTCATGGGCAAGTCTGACTCGCACTTGGCCGCTTTTTCTAGTTATTATTAATATTAATAATGTAATAACAACAATATATAAATGCTAAATTTATTTCTTACCACGCTGAAAATACATCGTATGTAAAGCCCGGTCTTCAAGTCGCAAATCCCGCAATAAAGGTGTAATTCCGGCCAGTTCCATTTTATTTTCGTTTTGTTTCTGAAATATATTTAATGTACCTTAATTAGAATTCAAAAAAAAAAACAAGAAAAAAAGGGGCAGGAAACATCGAAAGCAGCGCATGCTTCCGTTTTTTTATTTTTCATAGGAATCAAGGATAAGTAAATGCCATAAAATACAAAAAAAGGTACAGTTAATAGGCCAGGACCGCTCACACCGAGACGTAACACGACGCGATGCAGCTCGAACTTTTGAAGATAGTGGTACAAAATATAACTTTATTTACTACTCTAAAAGATACACATTTTATTAAGACAATTCGAAAACGCCTCGCGGCGTCGCGCCACGACGCGGCGCGTCTCGAGATGCCTCGCGGCGTAGCGCGACGGATCGCGATGCAGCGGTGCTTCGTCGGTAGGCGCAGCATACAAAAGTGGTGCGCTGCCAGCGATCTCACGATGCGCCTCGTGACGTCGCGATTCATCTCGCGGCGGCGCGTTGCGCGCTACGAACTGACCCTTAATTTAAACTTTATAGTAGAAATGGTTTCATTTAAAACTGCACGCGCCTCCGTTTTAATAATCGTGTACAACATTTGCTGGTCTATCTTGCGTGTCTATTTCGTTTTAGTAGATATTGGAATTTCGAATATATTAGACATGATAAACATGATAAAATCTATCAAAATTCAACACATAAATCTTTGAATAGTTTTGCCATCGCCTTCCTACAGCTAGAAAATAATAAAACAGTGGTTGCCAACCCCGATTACCAAGCGTGACGGAATCACAGTATAAATATGAACAGTATGGAAACTAAGCCTAGTTGAGGACATAATTACCTACGCTCCATTGAAGCAATAGGGTTGTAACTTTTAATGCTTTTGATATTGCTTTTTTTTTATATTTTTGTTCTGTAGTGATCAATTAATCGAATTTAAATAACTAGCTTACAAATACAATTTAAATAGGTAACATGGCGTCAGGTAATCTCAGCAAAAGACGATAGTTTAAACACGGAAAACAATTTAATATTTACACAACAACTTGTAGAACTATAGATCTTTAACTTTGTCATTACGGCGTAACCTTTTACAAGTTCGGCGGGAGCGTATTGGACGGAGCATTTGGTATTGTCAAGTTTATGGAGCAACTTGCTGAATACATAAGTTATTTATACCTAAATGCACTTAAATGAATCGCTTTTTAAAGCCGACGAAGCTACATCAAATAGAGAAGCTTCCTTAAATCCCTGGACCCATAGATTCTAATTTTCTTTTAACAAACACAAAAACTTCTTTCATGTATTTATTCTATCTATTATTTAATTTAGATTTTATTAATAACATAAAACTTTGCCACTTTTAACAAGCTTCTCAGACCTGTGTTTGTAATTTTTTTAGGTAATTCATCATAAATTATATTTAGATTTTCCAAAATTTTAGGTATAAAAGTAAACTTTTGTATTACATACATACTCTTATATTACTTAACTAAACTCATTAGTTATCATTTTCCAATTTCGAATGTCATTGGCAAATCTACCATGCGTACATTGGCTACCCTAAATGATAGTATCCATTGTCTAGTATATATACAGTAATTTATAGTATCCATATTATGTTAAACACTTGTGCATCGATGAGACGATATTTATTTTATTGTCTTGTAAACAAACAAGTATAAACTTTTTTACTATTAACTAATTTTGCTACCAAAAAATAATTTAAATATCTATTAACCATTAACCAGTTAACCACAGACTATATTCTTACAGTAGTGATACAACTCGAACTCTATTTTCACCCGATTCAATCGAGTGAATTTGTGTAACACGGTACTCGAGTGAAAATAAATTTTACTCGAGTCCGCTTACACTCGAGTTACCGAGTCAACTCGACGCACCGTGTGGATTCGGAGAGCACTACATAGATGTTAGTTCACCAATTCACTAATTCTATCATCTAATCAACTAATTCACATAGTATAAGGCGCCGCGGGTGACGTTACTGGTTACATCGAAATTCAAACTTGCATCTTGGCACGTTGTAAGCAAATACGAACTTACTGTTATTTATAACATAGATTACTGTATATATACTAGAGATATAATATCGTGATTGTGCTATCATTGTTTTATTTTTTGTTAATTCGTATAAGTGGTGCATAACATTAAAAGATGATTTAAACATACTTGTTTCTTTAAAGTATCAGTGATAACAATGACGCAACAAAACAAAAAACGTCAGTGTAGCATTATTTAAAAAATCGTAGATGGAAGCGTACATATACATACATAAACACTCACGCCTGTCACCCAGAGGGGTAGGCAGAGATTATGGACTTCCATTTGGCACGATCCTGACACACCTCTCTCGCTTCCTCCACATACATATACCTACGCATACACGCTCGTCGGTTAAAGGTACTCTTGATTTGGCCCATTTTTAATATATCGCCAATTTGGTCGATAAACTTTCACCTAGGGCGACCCTTCCCGACTATGCCGTTCACCTCTGCAACATAAATTTGCTTTGTCACTCTTTCCTCATTCATTCTTTCTACATGGCCAAACCACCGAAGCATTCCTTTCTTAATCCTGGAAGCGTAATATATGTCAAAATCAGTTTATAGATTTTGAAATAGTACAGATATGAAAAAAAAGCATGGAAATACTACAAATAAATAAATATTTGCTTTTTTTATTTCACATTGCCACATTTTACATTTTTAATAAAGGTACCTATTTAAAAATGCTTTAACTAAGGTAATCGCTATTCTCAACTCGAGTGATAAACTTCAATCGATGCAGGGACTATAAATAGTTAATTCAAATAGCTGCAAAACTCAAATACAACTAGAATAACATGATAATATATTATTAACCCGCGTTACTAGAGTCACAAAATTCTACTCAAGTCGCACCTTTATCTTACGATCAATGCAGTGTTTGTCTACAATTAAGTGATTGACTCGATTAACTAATTCGAGCAATTTATTGATATATTATGTAATATCAATAAACTGGCAACTATGGCAAATACCCCCCTATGAATGTAACAAAGAGACGGCCCCCAGTCCCCGGCGGCCCCGCTATTCCTGGCTACGGTGGCGACCATGGTAACGGCGGGGCAGGGGGTGCTAAGAATCTCCGGTGGAGGTTCGGTTGCCACCTTAGACGACTCGACCTGGCAACGTACAACGCACGCACCCTGAGGACTGACGAGAAGATCGTGGAGCTGGAAGAAGAGATAGACAAGTTGCGCTGGCATATTATAGGATTATCCGAAGTCCGAAGAGAGGGGGAGGACACGGTAATCCTCGAATCCGGCAACTTGCTCTATCACCGGGAGGGCGACCATCTGTCCCAAGGAGGTGTCGGATTTATCGTCCACAAGTCTCTCGTTAACAACGTTGTAAAGATCGGGAGTGTGTCGACGAGGGTTGCGTACCTTATATTCAGAATCACCAAACGGTATTCGCTGAAGGTCATACAGGTTTACGCACCAACCTCGGCACACCCCGATGAGGAGGTGGAGGAAATGTATGAGGATATCTCTAGAGCCATGTATTCCTCCAAAACCCAATATACGGTGTTAATGGGAGACTTCAATGCAAAACTAGGCACAAGAGAGAACGGTGAGCTGAAAGTAGGGAAATTTGGAATAGGGCAACGGAACCCAAGGGGCCAGCAGCTGGCCGACTTCATGGAGAAAGAGGGACTCTTTATGATGAACTCTTTCTTCCAGAAGCGGCCCCACAGGAAGTGGACATGGTCGAGCCCCGACGGTTCGACAAAAAATGAGATTGACTTCATTATGACGACCAGACGACAACTGTTCAGTGATGTCTCCGTGATCGCGAGGGTGAAAACTGGTAGCGATCACCGAATGGTTAGAGGCACACTGAACCTAAACGTTAAGTTGGAGAGGACTCGTCTAATGAAGTCAACGCTCCGTCCCCCTCGTGCTCTGTTCCAAAGTCCCGAAACCTTTCAGCTCGAGTTACAAAACCGTTTTCAGTGTCTAGAAGACTGCAATGAAGTGGACGATATGAATGACAAGCTCGTGGAAACTGTCCATGCGGTCGGAGCTAAGTTCTGCAAGACCCGCCGCAGGAGAACACAAAAACTCTCCGATCACACTCTTAATCTCATGGCTGTTAGACGGGAGATGAAGCTACATTCTTCAACAGACTTGACAGCATACAGGCATCTGAACAGACAGATCTCCAAATGCATGCGGCGGGACTTACGCAACTTCAATACAGCTCGTATTGAAGAAGCAATCGAGCGGAACCAAGGCTCCAAAGTCTTTGCCAGAGATCTGTCTGCCAGAAAGAGCCACCTGTCAAAGCTGAAGACAGAATGTGGCAGCATCGTTTCCGGGACACCTGAGATTTTGAGTGAGATTGAGAGGTTCTATGGGCAGCTGTACACGTCATCGTTGGAGCCACACGCAAATGTGAGTAACGATCCAAGAGCGAGTCTCATCCGACACTATTCCGAAGATATCCCGGACGTCAGTCTGAGCGAGATTAGAATGGCTCTCCAGCACCTTAAAAACGGTAAGGCCCCAGGCGAGGATGGAATTACAGCGGAGCTTCTGAAAGCGGGTGGAAGACCGGTACTTGAAGTCCTTCAGAAGCTCTTTAATTCCGTCCTCCATGGTGGCATTACACCGGAGGCGTGGAGCAGAAGTGCGGTGGTCTTGTTCTTCAAGAAAGGTGACAACGCTCTCTTGAAGAACTACAGACCGATTTCCCTTCTGAGCCGCGTCTACGTGCTGTTTTCGAGAGTCATTACGAATCGTCTCGCGCGCAGACTTGACGACTTCCAGCCTCCCGAACAAGCCGGTTTCCGAAAGGGCTTTAGCACCATAGACCACATACATACCCTTCGGCAAATTGTACAGAAGTCCGAAGAGTACAATTTGCCACTATGTCTGGCGTATGTGGACTATGAGAAAGCCTTTGATTCCGTCGAAATTTGGGCGGTGCTGCAGTCCCTTCAGCGGTGCCAAGTTGACTGTCGGTATATCGAAGTGTTGAAGTGCTTGTACAGTAGGGCTACGATGGCTATCCGAGTACAGAACCAGAGTACGAAACCTATCCAATTGCAGAGAGGTGTAAGACAGGGTGACGTCATATCCCCGAAACTCTTCACCGCTGCATTGGAAGACGTTTTCAAGCTTCTGGACTGGAAAGGATACGGTATCAACATCAATGGCGAGTACATCACTCACCTTCGATTTGCCGACGATATAGTCCTTATGGCAGAATCGCTGGAGGACCTAAGCACTATGCTCAATGACCTCGATAGTGTTTCCCAACGGATAGGTCTTAAGATGAACATGGACAAAACAAAGATCATGTTCAATGTCCATGTCACACCTATGCCGGTAGTTGTTGGGAGCACTAAGCTCGAAGTTGTTGACGAGTATGTTTACCTGGGACAAATAGTCCGACTAGGTAAGTCCAACTTCGACCGAGAGGTCAATCGACGGATTCAACTCGGCTGGGCAGCGTTCGGGAAGCTACGACACATCTTCTCGTCAGACATACCTCAAAACCTGAAAACGAAATTGTACAACCAGTGCGTGTTGCCAGTGATGACTTATGGAACTGAGACGTGGTCCTTCACTGCTGGCCGTATGAGGAAGCTCAAGGTCGCTCAGCGAGCTATGGAGAGGGCTATGCTCGGAGTTTCTCTGCGTGATAAACTTAGGAATGAGGATATCCGCAGTAGAACCAGAGTAACCGACATAGCCCAACGGATTAGTAAGCTGAAGTGGCAATGGGCCGGCCATATAGCTCGAAGAACCGACAACCGATGGGGAAGAAAGGTTCTCGAGTGGCAGCCTCGTACCGGTAGGCGAAGTGTAGGGCGTCCCCCCACGAGATGGAGTGACGACCTGGTAAGACATGCAGGAAGTCGATGGATGCAGGTGGCTCAGGACCGTGCTTTGTGGCATTCTTTGGGGGAGGCCTATGTTCAGCAGTGGACTTGTGAAGGGCTGTAATGATGATGATGATGATCAATAAACTGATTAAGTATAATTGTCATAAGTTAAAGTGATATTATTATGAAGATTGTCTATACGCAAACCAAAAGATAATATAACTACGTATTAAGTTTAGTAATAATAATTGTGTTGGATGGAAGAACAAAATATAAAAATAATTTGTAACAAACTGACACGGCTTCGTTCCACCAATTCGAGTTGTGTAACTCGAGTACTATTCGAGTTACGTGAATTTCAACCCTAGTTAAGTCGAGTCGAGTTTCTTTCGAATAAGCACATCTCTATTACATTTTTTTTTTCAATATTACATTAGCTGAACCAATGACCTGAACACAAATATCAAAACAATTCTTTTTTTCTGATTTCTTGATTCCGTTTAGATTTTCATAAAATCTTTATGCTGTTTACAATAATAAATTGGTATCTGTTTATATATAAACAGATACCAATTTATATTATATATATATGTATATATATAATAAAAAATAAAATAAAATCAATTTATTTCAGACTGAGTCCATACAAGTAACATTGACATTATAATAAATTTAATCTCATCTAATTTAATTTTATATAATTCTATCTTATCTTTTTTAATTTGATTTAATCTTATTCAATTGAAATCAATTCAATATAACTTAATTCGATTGTTTAAATAAAATTATTGTTTGAATAAAATTAATCTATAGTTTAATTCATGTATCTGCCACCCTCTGGGGCACCGGGCACATGCATTTGTAACCAGTGCCACAGAAGGGGGCTGTCAGGCTTATCGCTGAGCACGTTCAGGATGGTGTTGGCGCTCCCCCGCGTACGGAGCATCAGTGAGGCGATGCGGCGTCGCAGCACGGCGTGGAAGCCGTCCGTGTGCGCGTGCGCAAACATCGCAGACGCACTACAGCAGCGCGGGAGCGCCACCAGCACCCTGAATGCGTTATTATATTGTACCACTGAGGGTCGCGAAAAGTTCTAGTGGGCCCAAAAACGATTGACTCCTTTTCCATTTTACATAATCGATGATAAGTTATTAATATAATATAATATAATACATGGTGGATCAAAACAATAGAGTATAAGTAAGATAATAATCTTTAAAATAACCTTTAAATTAAATCAAACACTTGATAAACATTTCTACAATTATCTACACTTCTTTTTTCATTTTTCACACAGATATCACACTCCTGTGTGAGGGTAGCCTGTAGCTCATCAACACTTTTATGGCACATAGCACATGTTTTTACCTCTAAATAAGACTAATGTAAACTGTTAACTATCGCATTAAGTTCAGTTTTGTGGGGGTGGTCATTTTTGACTCGATGAAATCAGGGAAATTGCCCTTGCGCCACTATTGAATACAAGCTCATGTGAGCTGGAGCAGATAGCTGGTAAAATATCCATGAATGAAAGCTACCAAAGTACTCTTGACGCCAATGAGAAAAAATAATTTCATGGATTCGGTACTTTTCTTGATTAATATAAAAACCCCTTTCTATAAAAATTGGAAAGCTTGTCCAGTGGCACAAATTGCATCCATATCATAATTTCTGCATTTTGACGACGTGGAACAAATGATATACGATATTTTAAAAACGTCGTGTGAAGCGTAGATCTCACTGAACGAGCTGTTTTGTTTTTGTCCGTAAGTAATTATTTAACCGAGTTAAAAAACAAGAAGGTTCTGTAATCGATGCATATGCGCTCTAGCAAACGGCTGAACCGTTTGTTTATTATAATGTTATAAATCAGAGGTCCCGTATTTTAAATGAAAATGCTATCACTAGGATGGGAAAATAGGGAATGAAGATTTTAATGTAACTATTTAGACAACATTCTGGTTAGATATCTTTGGATGTACAGTTGTAGGCTTGTACTTTTTATTAAAAGTTAAATTATTAGTTTATACCCAATAGCAATGAGACATCCTATTTTATTTTTGTGATTTGAATAAACACTTGTACTTATACAGCAAACATATCTTATCTTATTTCAATTAAATATCAACATACTTACGAATGGATTTTCTCTTTAATTTTTCTACGACAATATTGAATCAATCGGCGTACCCTGTTGTTGCTTTCCGGTAACTCCATAACCGTACACAATATTTTACGCTCCTTGTTTTACAGAATACAGTCTAAATCAACAAATATCAATCATTACACAAACTGTGCTAACGCACTACAATTTTTCGTAGAGATTTCATTTTTATGAAATCACGAAGCAGTAAATTTTTGTGGACAAAAAACCTAAATACGTTACGCCGCTGTCACTGTAAATACTGAATGATATCGACGTTTTAGTTTATCTTATCATTCCTGGAAACCGATATATGAGTATAAATGGACTATATATTATTAAATAATTACTATAAATGTAATGAAAGTTTAAGGCATTATGTGATAAGAGAAAAGTGTGGTTTGCAAGAATATATTGAGACCAGAATTAAGAAAGGAATGCTTCAGTGACTTGGTTATTTACAAAAAATGAGTGAGTAAAGAGTGACGAAGCTAATTTATGCTGCAGGAGGGATATCTACATATGTCGTCAAGGGATACCCTAAACTGAAGTTTATCAACCAAATTAGCGATATCTATATCACGTTCTTTAACGTTATCATTTTGAACATTTTCGGTTTGTTCAGATTGTACTGATACTACTGGCTCATTTCTTGTATTTGTATCAGGGCGGATGTTATTATTTTTTTTTTCATTTCAAAATCATTTTTTTGATTTCTTAGGTAATGGGGCTAATTCTATATTGGGTACCATGCATTTTCGACCATCAGAGAGACGAACATACGAGTAATAGGGTTTGCTTAAAGAACGAGTGGCTCATATTTGGATGTTTTCATTTCGTCTCGAGTTTATAATAATTCGAAAGTGTGAAAGAGATCTTTCAAACGCCGTATAACTGTAGACGCCAATAAATCACTACAGGGATACGCAAACGTACCTCGAGTACTCGTCTATAATTGTCTATTACAGTAGAATCCCGATTATCCGGATCAAATAAAACCAAGGGTATCCCGTATAATCGAAAATCCGGATAATCGATTTCAAAGTTATATCAAACAATATTTAAATTTTAATAAATTTTTACTTTGATTGGAAGTAACTTTTTATTGAGTTTTGATGAAATGAATCACATGTTTTCATTGCAGCCAAGTCCCTGATGCGCTTCAGTTATAACAACTGTATGGGATCCGATTCGTCCTGTCTTTCAAACCACTTAAAAGCAACATCTAGAGCTTCAAAAGCTTCTGCGTGAGATGGTACTTAACAAACATTTCTAGTTTCAGTTTCTTCTTCATCTTCTCTCTCGTTACTATTCAAATCGTCAATGTCTTCTTCATCAGTTAATATTTGGAATCCAGGTTTTCACTATCGCTCTTCAGCCACTCTTTGATATTCTTTTCATCGCACCTTTCATCAATGCTAAGAATTTTTATTGCTTCTGTCATTTCTTTGAAATCGTCGAGCGGTATAATTGATGGATTAGATGGAGTTAATTTTAATAATTTATTCCATGCCCTTTTTAATGTTTGCCATTTCACAGAGTTCCACGCTTCTACTAGCATATAACAACAATCTTTTAAATTAATTTTCTTAAAAAGTTTTTCAGACAGTTTTCTCCTTGAATCTCCAGTTCTCGAATACCGTGTCTAGATTTGAATCTTGCTTACCATCCACAGCTTGCCTTGAAGGAAGTATTACCACCAAATTTTTGATTGAAATCCAATGTTATTTCACATAAAAGAGGTCCAGATATGGGCTGACAGCATACTCTCTTTTGTAAGAACCAAGTAAAAACTGCATTCTCCAGAATTTCATTTTGAGACTTCCATCTTCTTTCTCATGCGCGCAGATGAATTTCATTATGGAATCAGAATTCTTTTTAATGTCTGATATCGTACAAGTTCCTACACTATATATTTGCACCAACTTACTACCAGACACATCGTTTTTTATACTGTCAATTATATTCACTTTGTCTTTAAGAGACAACACTACTCTTTTTCTCTTGTACATTTTAGATTTCCAACGCAAAACGAGAGCGGGAGATACGGTCGGAGGCAGGAATAAGCTCGTCATAACATGTCTCATTCCGCCGTCAAAACATTTTTAAATCGGCAATTAAAGCCGTGACGAATGAGTTCGTATAATCGGATGTTTGGATAATCGGGATTCTACTGTATATCAATTTTGAGTATTCGATGGGAGTGCCTTTAAAATCAATATTTATCCTCTAAAAATATAGATTTTTTACTAATTTACCTCTTCATTAGCATATGGTTTTATCAAAGCATATACCTTACAAGATGATATATCATTAATCTTATTTCTTTTACAGAATATGTAAGATTATTTGATGTTACCCAATGGGCCATTTTGGTAACACCAGGATGACATAGTTGTTTATGTAATTCATACAGCTTATTCATATTCTTCAAGAGAGCGCTAAATCTTTATAATGCATTAGCTGCAGTATTTTGTCATCCTGGACGATAATTTATGTCGTATTTGTAGCAGGACAGTTGAAAGCACCACTGTTCAATGTATTTAATTTTCTTAATTCTCTTTTTTAATGCAACATAACATTGATAGACTGATGATCGGTTAAATGAAATGTCTATAAATAAGATAGTGGGTGTTATTAAAGTAGTGCTTCCACAATTACGCTTGCTTCTTTTTATGTAGATTAATGACCACGTTCAGTGGTAGACATAGTTCTTGAAAGGAAAGCTACAGATTTACTATTCAGTAAAAAGTGTTGAGACTATTACCGCTCAGATGCATCGATTTCTTACAGGGATGCTTTAACGATTACCTATTTCAAATTTTTGAAACTGTTTATGGCTTCTTGGCTGAGTGAAAAACGTATCAAACACTTAATAGGGTGTGAAAAATTGTAAATCCACTTCATTTAGTGAACCGACAAACACAAAATTAGTCTTAATGAGACTGCATCTATTGTTGTAGGGAGATACAATAGTGGTATTGAATAGCCTAATATATTTATAGTTTTAATCCAAAAGTGCATATCTTCTTATTCAATGTAAGGCGTCAATAAAATGCACAAGTTTTTATCTGTTTTCCCTTACCATTACCACATACGGTCACGTCATCTAAATGACAGAAAGTGTCTCTTATGTTCTCAGCCTGTATTATGAACGCTAGCATTCTCTTAAAACGCAGTCACGCTATTAGTGACTCCAAATGGAATACGGGTGAGTTGATAAATTCCCCTCATTCTTCGAATGCTATTTTCGTTCAGTATTTAAAATGGGTACTTGGTGATAAGCGATGTTAAGGTCAATTTGACTATAAAATTTTTGCTTTGCAAGTTTGGAAACACAAATGTAAACACCAGTGCCCTTAAAAAGAAGTATAATTCCACCTCCAGGTCCTTCGAAAAGTCATACCCAAGGCAAAGTCAGAGCACATAGGCAGAATTGTCGAGAAACTAGTTGCCTTCCTTCGGGAACTCGTGCATTCTGGTCTCTCGCCAATGCTGTCCAAGGGAACTTCTGTCAGCCATCTCTTCCGTCTCTTCACAGGAAGGATGACTCTCTGGCCGTGCCACAAAGAAGAAAAACGATCTGCTAGGCTCTTTCTTTGCGTCCTACTCAACTCTCCATGACAGGGGAACACACCGCCGACTATCCCGCGGTGTGAGTGCTCCATGCCGGATGTCCTTTTCACACAGCACTTGGTTCGCAAAGCACACCTCTCCCTGGATGTCCACAAGTCGAGTGGGCCTGACGGAATCCTCCCAATTGTACTGAGGACGTATGCTCCGGAGTTGGCACCGGTTCTAACGCATCTTTTCCGGTACTCCTACTCCCTAGGCGTAACCCCGAAATTATGGAAGACGGCTTTTGTCCCCCAGGTCCCTAAAAAACGCGACCGCTCAGACCCGTTCAACTACAGGCCTATCGCCATCACCCCCTTGTTCTCGAAAATAATGGAATCCATTATAAACTGCCACCTCATGCGATACCTTGAGTATCACCAGCTTATTAGTGACCGCAAATACGGTTTTCGTCGGGTTCGATCATCTAGTGATCTTCTGGTCTACCTGACCCATAGATTGGTGGAAGTAGTAGAGTCCAAGGGGGAGGCATTCGCCGTTAGTTTGGACATTGCGAAGACCTTCGATCGAGTCGGGCACAAAGCGCTTCCTTCGAAGCTCTCTTCCTATGGGCTTCCCGAGAAATTGTGCAATTGTATCACATGTTTTCTGGCTGATCAGAGCATCAACCCGACCACAGTTTCGCAGTTTTGGAGTTTTTCGCGTATAACGGCAATGACCTTAAAAAACTTTCAGTTTAACTAGACCCAGTACTAGTGACTTCTTACTAATGCAAGATCAGTATATACTGGACATTATTTAATACTTGCTCGATAAAAGAAAGATTGAAAATAGCAGCACTTCTCTTTGCCACTCTTTCATTAATAATGAAGTCGCGTGTCGCATGTTTGTAAATAGCAAAAAAATGTGAAACAGACAAGTGACTTTTAGAAAGGAAAGTCGTATCGGTCCGGAAAAATCGCTGGTGGTAAACAATTCTACAGAGAAGTTGCACGAGGAAGAAAACACCTAGTAAAACGCACAGTCATGGACCGCCAAGCATCCAGATGGCAAAATTCAAAATTTTGTACAACCAACTTCAATACTAATACCCATTATTAAGGATAACTCTAAAACTACTGGTCAGATCTTGATCAAATTTATATGGGATGTATAAACTATAAGCACCAGACTTTTTTTCGACGAAATAAACGGTAGGCTAATTTCACGAAGGTCACTTCCGAGCCGTGCAAAGTATTATGAACATTAGCTACGTTGTAACTAACTTTAAACTCGCAAGTTTGCTATCAGAGAGTGGTCCTACTGTTCTTTTAACTATTATTTATTCTGTGGTTATATTCAACTTAAAAGATTACTACTCGCAGATAAAGAATAGAATTATAAATGGCATCTCACGCGCTCACACCCGACGGTAATAACCACAAATATAATTTAAAATTAAAAAATTTGTACAACCGACTTCAATACAAACTATTAAGAATAACTCAAAAACTATTGG